CCTGCCCCAGCCCCAAAGGCTGGCTCCCCCCTGCCCCAGCCCCAAAGGCTGGCCTCCCCCCTGCCCCAGCCCCAAAGGCTGGCTCCCCCCTGCCCCAGCCCCAAAGGCTGGCCTCCCCCCTGCCCCAGCCTCAAAGGCTGGCCTCCGTTCCAGCCATTGTCCACACTCCCTGGCTCAGTTTCTCCCTCTGTATCTGCTGATTCCTCTGTCAGCCCCCACCCCATCCTCCCAATCTCTCCTGTTCACTCTTTCATCATGGAATGGACCGACTGATATTTTCTTTGCTGGCCCTCGATAGTTCCATCTCCTCTTCCCCCTCTTGCTGTCTGTGGAGTTGATTAGTAAGGGCACTTGGCATACTTTTTTTTTTTTTTCTTAAAACTTTTTAGTTCAACCGCTGCTAGCTAAACAGCAGCGGCTTGCGAGGCTGAACTCAGCCAGTGAGACCAAGGAAGGCTGGAGCCCAAATCACCTTTCTCTTTCACTTTGGATAGAGATTGTCCCCTGTAGACTGGAACCCTTGCACCGGAGGGTGGCTTTGCAAAGCAAATTGGATTTGGGGTTTGGTCAGCAGGGGTTTAGATGTGTAGGTGTGTAGATGCTCTTTCCATGAAGGAACCCTGGACTCCCAGGGTTGGCTTGTGGCATGCTACCTTTCTTTAGAACCTAGGAAATGGTTCACATAGTTCTTCTGTCCCCTGGGGAGACTTGGATGAACTTTGAATAACCACAGCCGGGGGCAGCTTATTAATGATTAGACAGAGAGGGAAAGCAAGTCATGCCTCCTACAGGATATTACAGACAGCACGACTTTCCCATTCCAGAAAACAGACTTCTATAAAAGCATTTCAGTCTCTAGGCTCCTGGCCATGCCATGGCATGTCTACCGGGACCTATCCAGTGCAGTTCAGGGTGAGAAACAGGGTCAGAGGAAAGAACTGAAGGATGCTTAGCTGAGGAACTTGGCCTTTATCCAGCACCTATGGACTTCTCTCCGAGAAAGAGAGAGAGACGGAGAGACAGAAACAGAGACAGAGATCTCAGAGACGATGTGGGTCTAACATCTTCGTTCACTTAGCAAAGTTTTAGTTTATTGATTGTATGTTTATGGAGGATCTACAATGGATATGACAGCCACTGAGAGAGGCTTAGGAAGGCAGATGACGTGGGGCAGGGTATGGGGGGGGTTCATCAAGTCGTCACACACAAGAGACAAGAGGAGGGCCTTCCTTCTTTCCTTCTTTCCTTCCTTCTTTTTCTTTTCTTTTTTCTTTCTTTCTTTTTTTTTTTTTTTTTTTTTTTTTTTTTTTTTTTTTGAGACAGGGTTTCTCTGTGTAACTAGCTCCGTGTAGACTAGGCTGGCCTCGAGCTCACAGAGACCCTCCTGCCTGTGCTTTCTGAGTGCTTGGATTAAAGGTGTGTGCCACCACCTGGCTTAGTTACTTTTCTGGTTTCAATGGCAATACATCAGGCAAAAACAACTTAAGGGAGGAGGGCCTGTTCTGGCTCACAGTTTGAAGGTGCAACCCACTACTATGGTGGGGAAGTCAGGGTAGCAGGGTAGTAAGGAGGTACTTACTGCTCACGAGGTACCTGCAGTCAATCAGGAGCTTGCAGTCAGGCAGCAGGGGTGTGGGGGGCGATGAACGCTGGCACTCAGCTGGCATCCTTTTTAGTCAGTCCAGGGCTCCCGCCTGTGAACCACGGGTGTCTACATTAGGATGAATCCAATCTAGAAACTCCTTCACATACATTACCCAGGGGTTTGTCTACCAGATGACTCTAGATCCTCTCAAGTGGATGGCATTAAGTACCACAGGGTCTCAAGGGGAAGTATAAGAGACAAGGAATGCCTTTAGAGGGTTGACCAAAGCCCCAGAGGGGAACGATATGCTGAGGGCTGCCTTGAAGCAGTGCCTTTTAATCTGCAGTGTAAAGTAAGAGTTCAAATCACAACAGGTGAAGTCAGTAGAGGCAATTGCACTCACAAAGACTGAGGGGAGGGGTAGGAAGGAAAGTATGGAGGGGAAACGGGTAATTGCAGTGATGGGCATGGCAAAGTTTGAGGCAGGCGCTGGAGGATCCTGGCTACAGAGGATAGATAAAAGATTGGGAAATTCTGAAGTATGTTAAGGTGGACAGTAACATGACCAGGAAAACAGAGCTGTATATATTGTTCAAGGAAGGCTATAGGGAGGAACGGGAAATTCCTGTCCCTTTCGGAGACTGGCTAGGAGATGAGGACAGATGGAGTGTGTTGGAGAAGTCACAAGGAAGGCACATGAGGTATTTTTATCTGTTTTAGGGACATCACAGGGAGGATGAATTGATAGATGGACAAAGGGGATCAGGAAGTGACGGTACGCTCAGCAGTGATCTGTTGACAGAAGTTTCTGTCCCATCTGGTCCCACAGCCATTTACACAGAGGCTATATTAATTATAAACTGTTTGGCTGATGGCTCGGGCTTTTTATTTGGCTAGCTCTCTTAATTATTAACTCATTTCTATTAATCTATGTATAATCATATGGTCTTGGCTTATCCGACAATGCCTGGGCGTCCTATGTTCCCTGTAGCTGCATGGTATCTGGCTGGTGACTCAGTCCGAGTTTCTCTTCCCAGAATTCTCCTAGTCTAGTAGACCTGCCTATACTTCCTGCCTGGCTACATCCTGCATGTCCATTGGCCAAAGCAGCTTTATTCATCAACCAGTACGAGAAACATATGTCCACAGCACACAGAGGACATCCCCCACCAGAGATCGGGAGACATGGAATTGGGAGACTTGGAAGTGGACCTTGTAGGCTGAGGTCTGGGAAAAGGAAGAAGGGACAGCCAATGTGAGCATGGGAAAGGGGGCTGCTTGTTACGCCTAGGATGTGCAACCCTGAAGAGCAGTACCACTCCTGCTAAATGAAAGATGAGACATGATGGCAGATGAGGTCTAAAACAAGAATGCGAGCCTACGGCGAGGTTTGAGGAATGGTACCAGTTCTGAGGCTCACCTCTGTGAACGGGGGAGGGCTTGAGAAAATCCTAAACGGGAATGACCTATTTATAGCACAAACACACACACACACACCACATATCACACACATACCTCATGACATGTACACACACACCACATATGCACCATACTACACACACCACACACACACACACCACATATCACACACCACATATCACACACATACCTCATGACATGCACACACACCACATATACACCATACTACACACAACACACACACACACCACATATCATACACATACCTCATGACATGTACACACACACCACATATACACCATACTACACACAACACACACACACCACATATCACACACATACCTCATGACATGTACACACCACATATGCACCATACTACACACAACACACACACACTTTATGTGTATGCATATTTTATCTACAGATGAGTGAACACCACATGCATGTCTGGCACCTGCAGAGGTCGGAAGAGGATAATGTACAATTACATGTATTTTATGAATTCACCCATCCAAGGAGAGCGGTGATACAAGAAATAGCCCAAGAACTGAGATTTCTGTTATATTGCCCATTTAATAGTCGTGATAACAAGGAGGCAAAACCAAGTCATAGTGAGGAGAAGCAGGAGAAAGAGGCGTTGTGGTACCCGGAAGAGAAAAGTGGTTCGAGGTGGAGGGCAGGCAGTGATGGGCTGTGTGGTCAGGAAATGAATTAAACTGTTTGGGCCATGTCTGCAACACTAGGTACTGTTCCAAGTTCATGTTCAAGGGGAGCTGGGACCAAGAGCCTGACAAAATAGACTTCAAAAAGAGTGGAGCAGGACTAGGGCTATAGTTGGTAGAATGATCGTCTAGCACGTACGACGCTTTGGGTTTGATCCCCAGTGAACCAGGAATGGTGCCACACACCTGTATTCTAAGGACTCAGGAGGCAGAGGCAGGGGGATTAGAAGTTCAGGGCTACATAGCATGTTTGAGGTCAACCTGGGTTACATGAAACCCTGTCTCAAAAAAGTTGTGTGTGGGGGGAGCAGCATGTAGGCTAAGGGGCAGGGCTGATGATGCAGGCGGATCCCCTTAACCACGGTATCACCTCAGGGAGAGAGCCTGAGGAGGAGCCTTTGTAGCGCTGGGAAGGGAGGGAGACTCCTGCATGCGGCACAGAATGGCAAAATGTATTCCAGATGCCTGGCATTGGCCAGCACAGGATGGGAAAGAGAGTAGCTGTGGCGGTCTTCAGTGCACCCAGCAGAGCAGGGCTCTAATTCTCCACCATGGCTGAGTGATAGTGTCACCTGTCACCTTAGGAAGCCATTCACAAATACAGGATTCTGAGCCTCACCTCAGCGAAACCTGTGCATCCATCTTGAACGGGACTCAATGATGTTTTCAAACATCTCCCTGTGGTTGTATCATCCCGGCCTCACTGAGAGCCTCTGGTGGGCACGCCTGTTTCCTCTATGTGCTTGACAGTGAGTGAGTATGAGGGGCACTTGGAAGTGAAGGGGCCATGGGGAGGGTCGTCCCTGATCCCCGGAGGTTGCTGAGGAATCCGTTGGCTTTCCCCAGAATAGCCATTCTCATAACACTTAGTGAGACGAAACCCCAAATTAATTCCAAAGCTCTAAGAGATCTTCTGGCACCAGAAGAAGCTCTGTTCTGCTCTTAGGCCTTTTGTTTCAGGATAATTTTGCAGACCCTGGGTAGCGACTGAACCGAACCTACTTTCCATGCATTTGACCCATAGTCATGGGGACGCAGTCACAGCCACAACAGTTTCACATGCTGCCACCTGGCCCGAGCGATTCCAAGGGTCCCTCAGCCCTCTCATTCTGGATGGTAAGGGTGACCCTGGCAGGTGTGTATGTGTGTGTGTGTGTGTGTGTGTGTGTGTCCCCAGTCCATCCGTGTCCAGAATCCTTTCTTCCCCTGGGAAACATCTTCTGTTTTAGTCCATGCAGTTTGGGGTGTCAACCAAGTAGTTACCCACACCTCCATCTGGAGTCCTGTGATGCAGACCTCCTCAGTTACAGTAGTGCAATTTCTGGCATTGGTTCAAGAGGCAGGGGTGGAATTAAAAGGCATCCACTGGCATTTCTCTTAAAGACTACTCTGTGGGGACTGGCAGTTTTCACTTCCCTCAGCTCTAAGCCTTTGCAGCTAGGCTGCAATTTCTTGCACTGTACAGCATTTTGACAGAGATAGGTTCTTCTGGCCTTCATGTGAGGCCAGCCGTGTGGCGTATGCACTGAAGTGTCAGGCAGGCGTGGTCAAAGAGTGTGTGTGGTAGCTGTCCCTGGGACGTCCAGGTGTCGGTCTCAGGGTCATAGCAGTCAAAGGAGTCCGAGTCCTCAATGTTGCAGTCCGTGGTCAGCCTCCGCCCACCTGTCACATACAGCTTGTTCCCCAATACTGTGGCCCCGTGGTGCATCCTCCGGTCTTCCATGTCTGCGCACTTGACAAACTTGTTGGACCGAGGGTTATAAGCAAGAATTCTCCGTGTGTAACCTGAAAATTGAATCGCACATGAACAGCTGTGTGTGGCTCACCTGGGGCTTGGGTCAGTGGTTGAAGAATGCTTCTGCTCCTCCCCGCACCCCCAGACACACGCCAGGCTGGGATTCTGACCAAAGCATGGATGTCCGGTACCCCGCTGCAGCCTGGCATCTGGAGCTCTTTGGCTCTGGCCTGGATTACAGCAGCCATGTAAGTCATTTGTAGAGCAGGGGCAGATTCTGCTTTCCAGTACCTTCTGTAGCCCTGCTGCCATGATCATCTCTTCTACATGACCCCAGAGCCATAACCATTCAAGGAAGGGGACTTTCATTGGGAACACAGATGGATTCCCATGGCAGTCTACTAAGTAGTTACTTTGAGGTTTCCCATTTTACTGACAGGCAAACCAAGACATAGAAAGATGAACAACTTGCAAAAAGTATATATCCACTTAATGTTAGAGCTGGGGTTTGAGCCCAGGTCTCTTTGACTCCTATACTGGCCCTCTTAACCATAGTATGTTATGCATTTACAGAGAAACGATGCATTGTAAGTCATTGTTGTTGTTGTTATTAGTATCATCAGCATCATCATTACTATTATTATTTTGAGACAGGGTCTCACACTAGTCTGGTTTGGAACTCATTATGTAGCCCAGACTGGCCTCAGACTAGTGGCAACCTTCCTTTGTCAGCCTCCCAAGTTCTCAAATTATAGGTGTGAGCCACTACACCTAGCTAGTGTTCGCATCTCTCCTTCATGTGTCAGGCGAGTAGCTCTTCGGGTCTTCCGCACTTTCCTCGGGATGGATGTGATTTCCCCAGGAGCTGCCCAGTCTGTCCCCGGCCAGGCCAGCCACTCTCTGTTCACTCACCTCCCACTATGACAATCCTCTCCCCCAGCACCACTGCAGGGGCACACACGTTCTTGATCATCCTTGTCTCCATTTTGAACCACGTGTTTCTGGAAATGTGGTAAACCTGGGGAGCGGGAGGGGAGACAGGATCATGGTACCAAATTTGAAAATTAACTTTTCTAAAAGAGAAAAGGGGTAGTTGTTTATTAGATTTTTACTTGAGTGGGAGAGAGAGAGAGAGACAGAGAGGCACAGACAGGAACAGAAACAGAGAGACCAAGAGAGACAGAGAGAGAAGAGTATGTGTGTATGTGGTGGTGGTGTGTATGTGTATTTGTGTGTGTGTTAGTGTATGAGGTGTGTATATGGTATGTGTGTGTGTATTAGTGTGTGTTGTGGTATGTGTTAGTGTGTGTGTTTGTGTGTGGTGTATGGTATGTGTATGGTGTGTGTTAGTGTGTGTGTGGTATGTGTATGCAACTGTGTAGGTTGTGTGTATGGTGTGTGTTTGTAGTGTGTGTTAGTGTGTGTGGTGTGGTATGTATGGTGTGTGTGTATTGTGTATGTTGTGTGTGCCTAGTGTGTTAGTTTGTGTGTGGTGTGTGTCTGTTAGTGTGTGTGTAAATGTGTGTAAGTGTGTGTGTTAGTGTGTGTGTGTAAGTGTGGAGGACAGAGGACAACTTTTGGGTTTCTGTTCTCTTCCTCCACCATGTGCGTTCCAGGACTTGAACTTAGGTCACCGGTCTCTGGTCTTGGTGACAAGAGCATTTACCTGATGAGCTGCCTCACTGGCTCAAGTACTCATCTACAGGGTGAATCAGAAAGAAACTTGTCCTTCCTATTTCTTTTCAAGTTTTAAAGTGTAGGTATTACTATCAATAAATGAACTCTTGGCCACAGAAAGAGGAATGTATTGGAAGTTAGTCACATGACCCCATGAAACCAATGGCTGTATTTCCATTACCTGGACCAAGACTTCTGCATTGGGGCAGGCACCTCACTTACCTTCTTGGGATATTTTAATAATATTTTAATGAGAAATGGCACAACCTTATTATTCAGGAAACCAACTATTTTCCATTTTTTAAATTTCTAGGTCAAGTTAGTATTTCTAAATGTCCCTGTGTAGCTAAGAGGGTCAGAGAACCAAGAATATGTCTGAGGCTGTACAAGGAAGGTATAGGAACAGTTTATGCCTAAGAAGAACTAGAGTTTTTGTGAAAGAAGAGAAAGAAAATTGAAGAGGAGAAGGCAGGCTCTTTAGCCAAACCTGAAATGCGGATCAAATCATGGTTCTTCCTTCTGTTGATTTCTTCAGTTTCAAACTCAAATATCAGATGGATGTTAATTAGTAATAGGCACAATTTAGCACAAGAGATAAAGGATGGACTCCACATTAAAAAAGAAAGAAAGAAGAAAAAAAAAAAAAAAAAAAAAAAAAAAGAATAAACAAGCCAGGCTGTGGTGGCTCACACCTTTAATCCCAGCACTTGGGAGGCAGAGGTAGGTGGATCTCTGTGGGTTTGAGGCCAGCCTGCTCTTACACAAAGAAACCCTATCTCGAGGGTGGTCATGGGGCCTGAAAGGGTGGGAGAGAGGGAGGAAGAAAGGGAGGGAGGGAGAGGGAACTGGGATTGATATGCAAGATAAGAAAAATAAATAAATTAATAAAAAGAGCTCTGCTGCAAAATAAATAAATAAACAAACAAAACATCTGTTTACAGAGGAAAATGACATAGTTGTCCCTGACACTTTCTCCATATAAAATATAATTTCTAGCTTCGTCAATGACCTTATCTTTTCCATTTGATAGCGATTTGGGGCTGAGGATATAGGGCGGGTGGTGGAGTGCTTGCCTGCCATGTATGAAGCCTGCACTGACCCTAGGACCTCTGGCATGTGTGAAGCCTGCATTGATCCTAGGGCTGCTGACATGTATGAAGCCTGCACTGACCCCCAGGACCACTGGCATGTATGAAGCCTGCACTGAATCCTGAACCACATACAATGTTGTTGGTGCCACCCTAGCAATCAAAAGGCAGAGGCAGATGATCAGAAGGTCAAGGTCATCCCTGGCTACTCAGGGAGGTCAGCCTGGGCTACATGAGACTTTGTTTCTAAAATAATAAACAAATCCTAGAGAGGTGGCTAAGTGGTTACAGCACTGGCTGCATTTCCTGAGGTTCTGGATTCAATTCCCAGCAGCTCACATGGTGGCTCACAAATGTTCTTAACTCCAGTTCCAGAGAATCGGATGCTCACTTCTCACTTCTAGGACCACAGCATGCATGTGATGCACTGGTGTGTGTGCGTGTGTGTGTGTGCATGTGTGTGCATGTGTGTGTGTGTGTGTGTGTGTGTGTGTGTAGGCAGAACACCCATAGGCATGAAAAAAATGACTACATCTTTAAAATAAGTAAATAGCATGAAGAAGTTGACATTCACAGAACAATGTATCAATATAGAAACTTATTTGCCCAGCCAGACTGGGTGGGCATGGAAGTTCCCGGCTTAATCCAGAGGCCATGTTCTTAGTCACTAGGGTCATGGATCTGTTGAGGGAGTATGGCATTTCCTGATAGTTTAAAATTATTATTATTGTTGTTATTGTGTGTATGCTTGTGCATACGTGTACACACTCGTGTCATGGCATTGAAAGACCCCTACTATGCTTATTGCCTGTTTGAATTGCTCTTGTTAATTTGCCAAGGTCAAGTTATGAGAAAAGTACAGGAGGGAACCAGGTGCTGCTCTCATCCAACGCCAACCAGATATCTGTGGTCTGCAGCTTGGACCAAAGCAAGGTCAGCAGGACAGTGTCCAGTATGCTGAGATAGTCATAACTGAATTCTTTGTATTCTTTGTGCTCAACCCGAATAACCAACTGTCCTTGGTTAACTACAACTGCTACATTTAGATGAAACAATGAAATCCCTGTAACCATGCTTCTGCTTCTGTAAGCCTGCTTCTTGCCACCCCAACCCTATATAAACTGCCTGAGTTTTAACCTCAGCACGCTCAGTCCCCCGAAAGACTGAAGCGTCCACAGGTACCTGTGTAAACAATAAACAACCTCTTGCACTTGCATCCAGTGGTCTGGTCTCATCTCTTGGGGGCAAGGGCCTTCCCCCTGTCAGGCTCCAAACTCTTGGGGTCTCTTGGGGGTCTTTCAGCATGTGTGGAGGTCAGAGATCAACTCTGTGAAGTCTTCTCTCTCCTTCCACTTTCCTGGATTCTGGGACTCAAACCGAGTTCAGACTTTCATGCCAAGTCCCTTTACCTGTTGAGTCATCTTACGGTGTCCTGATGGATGAGACCAAGACCCCCCTGGGATCTACATTATTCCTTCCTGTTGAAGCCAGGAGGAGGCTGAGCATAGTCACAACGGCTGGGAAGCCCCGTTGGTGACACACTCCTTGAGAAGTCGGATCCTCAGGAGGAATGCAGCTGCTGGCTGCATTTAACTCTGGTGAGTGATTGCCTCCTGGTCTACTGCTCTGTCAGCTTAGAGGTTGGTTTCAAAGACAGATTTATCATCTCCTCTCAATCCTCACAGGACCTCAGAGAGACCACAGCAAGGTAACAAAGGATGTGTTTGATCCTGGTTGGAAGTGAAGCTTCCTCATGGTATGGAACTTGTTTTATGTCCTCCAGAAGCAGAGGCAGGACAAAGGCCAGGTAGAAAGGGACCACACATCCACCTTGTTTAGTTACACCATTGAAAGACAGCACTGGAAGAACCCTGACTCCTCTGACTTGGCCTGAAACCCCAGCCTGCTCCATCGAGTGACTCTCAGTACTCATTTTAGAGGGTGTTTGAGTGAATAGAATGTCTACTTCGAAGCTAATGCTAGACCGGTAAGAGAAGCTTCCGTCCACTCCTGGCTCGCCTTGGCTGCACCACAGAAGGACCACTCACAAGTCTGGATCAGTTTGTTTTTGTGAGGATCTTGGTTTGGTTGCACTATGCATTTCTTGATCTGTATGCTGGAGGTTCATTTGAGCTTTGCAGTTTATTTTTGGGAAATGGGTGGTTGCAGGAGTCACCAGCCTGTCTGTTGATTCTATTTGGGGGGTCTCTTCTGAGGATCAGGGTGGCGGCTCCCCTAGCGCAAGTCAATGGGCGGGACTGAGGGTGGCACTTGTGAAAGAGAGAGGTCCTTCTTGATGATCACAGGGAGTAAGGGCTGCAGAAAGAAGGTTCGAAGGTCTAAGCCATCGGTACCCTCTGTTCGGGCTTCTGGGAGAATCTCCCAGCTCTCCTCCCTGGATCTCCTTCAGTCCCTTCTCCACAAGCAATCTGGAGCAGTGGCTCTCAACCTTCCTACCTCTTTGACCGTTTAATACAGTTCCTCCTGTCGTGGTGAACTCCCAGCCATAACATTATTTCATTGCTAACCCATAATTTTGCTACTGCTATGAATCGTAAATATCAGATATTCAGAACCTCTGATATGTGGCCCCTGTGAAAGGGTTGTTCAACCCAAGGGGGTCACGACCCACAGGTTGAGAACCACAGATCTAGAGGGAGTTACAAATGCAAATCCTATTGCTCCCCACCATACATGAACACTTTGATGCTCTCTCTGCCCCTCCCTCTCAGAGTACCATCCCAGTTCCCCACAAGAGTTACAAAGTCCAGCGGTAACAGCTTCATCTCCACAGGACATTCTGAAATGTCCCAGGATTTTGATAGGAGGGCCTTGGGGGCAGTATCTGGGTGGAGGAGGTTGCTGGGGCAGCGTGGGAAGGGGACAAAGATGATTACAATGGGGCTAACATCTGTTCCCTTCTCCAGCTACCGTCTGGCATGCGGCCTTCCTCCTCCTCGCTCTGCCTGGCATGCTCTCTGTTCCTCAGGCAGAGCACTGTGCCTCCTCTTTCCTTCTGAGCCTTTGTACACAGGACCCAGGATCCATCTCTCCCTCTGCAAGTAATTCTGAATTCTTCATCTGTCAGCTCTTCGCCCCAGTCAGGCCCTCTGCTATTTGCTTGTTGTAGCATCTTAGCATCCACTCTGACTTTCCCATCCTCATTTACCCTCTCACGGAGTTTTCTTCAAATTCCTCTGGACCTTTGTGTTATTTGCGATTCCCTATTGTCCCATTTAGAACACCTCTTAAGCTCTCAGCACTTGTATCTTCTGATTCCGAATGGCAGCTGTCTTGTAAACTCCTTGGGGGTTAAATGTAATTTTCTGCTTTCTCTCAGGTCCCCAGAGGCCCCCAGATCATTTATAGTGGCCAGTGACAGAGTCCACCCCTGGTGTCTCCTAAATAGTAACGAGAAGCTTACCATGTGTGGCATAGTTGTTAAAGCATGTGGATGCTGGACATCACTTGATGTTCTGAAGTTGGTGGTTATCAAACACATTTCTCGGAGACTGTGTAAGTGAAATGAATTACTTCTGTCATTTAAGGCACGTGGTCCCAGACCTAGTCGTGCTTTGGAGCCTCCTAGAGACTTCTGTAGAGCACAGATGTCATGATTTCATGTGAAGTCAAGTTCCAGGGGATTTGTTGGCAGCGGTGTGGAGTGGGCTTGCACTGGGGGTAATGGCACCACTAGCGTCCTATAGGACTTCGCTGTCTTAGGTTTAATATGTTTCAGCCTGAGCCTCTACATTATTTTCCCTTCAAGTGAAGACAAGATCTTTGTGGATGGGGCTGTATCTGACGCAACTTTGCATTAGTATCACAATAAAAATTCATAAACACTGAACATTTCCTTCTTCTCTTCATTCCCTGCAAAAGGCAAATGTGTGTATGTGTGTGTGCGTGCTATGTGTGTGCTCATGTATGTGTGTGCCTGTGTGAGCATGTTTATACACATAAACACACATGCATACATGTATTTGTTCTCATATGCATACACTGTTTTATATGGCATATATATAACACATGAATGCATATGTGCATATGTGCACATGTGTGTATTTCATTATATGTCTGCATGCACACATATGTACATAGGTGTATATATATATGCACACGTGTGCATAGATATGTGTATGCCATGATAAATAAGAGTGTATGTGTGGATACACACACATGCATACATGTATGTATATGTACACACAATAATGCATATATGCACATACATATGTACGTGCTATTATATATGTGTACACAAATACATGTACACACAAGTGCACCCATACACATGCAAGTATAAAAACATGTATAATATGGGCACATATGTATGTGCCCATGAATGTATACATGCATATGTATTTGTGCACATGTTTGTCTGCGTATGTGTATGTCACTATATATGTGCACGGGCACACACGAATATGTATTTTAATTATGCATGTACATATATATGCATATTTATGCTATTATGCATGTTCATGTAAATGAATGTGCATGTGATTGAATACATGCACATGAATGTGTACATATATGTACACTCAATTATATATGTGCCTATATGTGTATCTGTATATGATTTCATGTGTGCATATATGTATATGTGTGCATGTTTATGCTGTTGTGTATGTGCATTCACATGGCTGAAGACATGCATGTGTATATGTGTGTTATATGTATATGCCATTGTATTAGGTATGCCTCTGTGTGTGTGTGTGTGTGTGTGTGTGTGTGTGTGTGTGCATAAGCACACTCGGTACTAACGCGATGAGCAGGAGCAGCTGGTTACCTGGACAAGGCGCACAGGGTTCTGCATGACGTCCTCACCCCCGAAAAGATAGAGCCTTTGGTCCTTCACAGCAACAGCAGGGTGGAGTACGGCCACTGGCATGTCAGCCATGCTCTCCCAGACATCACAGACACTGTCATACCTCTCTATGGAACCCAGGAGCTCCTGCCCTTCTCCAGTGCCCCCAATGGAGAAGACGAAGTTCCGGTGGGTGGCGCTTCTGTGGGAGTAGCGGGCTGCCAGCATGGGCTCCCCCAGTCTCCACTGGTTGAGTTTCAGAGAGAAGATATACACACTGCAACTGATGAGACTCTTCCCCTCACTGACAGCTACGCCCCCAAGCACATAGACACTCCGGTGCAAGGTGACAGCGGAGGCCCTGTACAACCTCGTGGGGAGTTTGGCCAGGTTCCGCCACTGGCCAGTCTGTACACTGTAGAGCAAGACATCCCTGGTGGTCTGCTGGTTGTCCTTCTGCCCCCCCAGGAGGAGGAGGCAGTCTTGGTAGCAGCTCCTCGGGGGGGTGTGCCACGGGAGTTGGCAGTCCTGGGCACTGGGGCTGTACAAAGAGAATATCTGCTTCCTGGCCATCTCCAGGATGGCCTGGCATGCGGGTGAGGACTGCAGGAGGGCGTCGTTGGCGATGAAGTGATGGAAGAAGGCGGGGTGGATGTAGGGCAGGCGGACCTGCTGCAGAAGATCCTGCATGTAATGCCGTCGGGCCTTGAGGTCGTGCTTGACCCAAGCCATGAGGGTCTCAAACACCTTTTCCTCCTCCCCACAGAGCCCGTCATCTCCCAGGTAGTCTCTCAAGTCCACGGCACAGAGCTCCTTCAGGTCGGCCGACGCTGCAACCTCTGAAAAGCAAGTCAGGGCCACGTTCCTGGCCTTCTTCTTAAGGCTTTCACAGTTTAAGACTTCCGCCAGCCTGACCAGGCCCAGGCAGTTGCTGGGGGCCAGCTGGCTCTGCAGGTATGACGAGCAGGCCTCAAACACCCTGGGGTACTGCAGCATGGCAGCTGCCTCCATCAGTGGGAGGACGTTGGCAGCTGTGATGTGCACCTCTCCCGTGTACACGTACGTGATGAGCTGCTCCAGAGTGGTGGAATTGATGCCTTTCAACTGCACTTTGGCCTCTGTGCTCTCCCGGAAGTGGCTGCAGAACATGGCCTTGAAGTAGGGACTGCTGGAGGCCAGCACATTGCGGTGGCAAGGGACCTCCCAGGCTCCGGAGCATATGCTCACATCAGTCAGGGTCTTGCTTTGCCTCAAGTCGTTGAGCTGTCTCAACAAGTCAGAGGAGAAGTTGTGGTCTTTGAAGACAACCTCATCTGGCAACTCCTCATCCATCCTACAAAGACGGAGGGAAGCCCCAAATGGAAGCAAGGTTAAGGCTTTCTGGCGGTGTGCACTGGAGGGGTTAGCTGCAGGAGCTCCAAGCCTCCTTCACCCTATTCATTTACCAAGTCAATGGGAACACAGACAGAGCACCACCCTCACCCCAGCCCACAATGTGATCTACTTCAGGCTGTGAGCAGCCCCAGAGATAAAAGACACATAGCCTCTCCAGCTAACCTCAGGCATCTTCCAACCAAGGGTGAAGAACAGTCCATGCACTTGACAAGAAATGCATGCTTTTGTCCAGATCATCAGCAGATTTGTCAGTAAGCTGGTCTACAACTCTCTTTCTGGGTGTTAGCTATTCCCCAGGGCTGGCGTTCTGGGGGTGTGGTCTTCTGGTCACTAGACAGAAGTGAGGGATTACAGTGGGCAGTGGCAAGATCTAGAGAGAAGACTGCACGGTCTCTGGATTTTGTTTTAAAGATGTAGTTACTAGAGAACAAAGACCAAACACTTCTGTGGTCCATTGGAGACACAGTCAGTCTGCCCCACTGAGGAATGAAGTGTTAGGGACACTTACCTTGTTTTGCTGCAGTGGCATCCACAGATGCTGGGTTTGTATCGTCCCCTCAGAAGGGTTCTACCTTAGGCTCAGAATAAAAGTGTAAGCCCCAGGCCTTTCCTTCTGTTGGCAATTTCTCTGTCTTAGGAGAGCTCTGGGTTTGTTTATGCTGCAGGCACTTTCACAGCTTCTAGAGCTCGGTGCTAGGGCTGCTGGGCAGCCAGACAGTGTATACATTCCAGGCCTAAGAATAGCTGCATATGTACTTTCCAGTGTTATGACATGTGACTTTCCAGTTGCCTTTTGCAGCCACCCGAGGGCCTGCAGGGCTGCGCATGCCCACATGCCTTGTTTCCTTGGCGAATGTTTACATGGGCATAAATAGAAAGGGAGGAACGGATTCTCTGACCAAGGCTTTGCTGTCCATTTGGACGCATCCCTAGTCCCTTGTCCTAAGAGTGCCTTGGAACTCTAGATGTCTGTAAACAGGTTGCTGTGACTTGTGCAGAATCGCCTAAGACAGACAGCTCTGGGTCACAGCAGAAGTGGCAGATGGTCTTAGGAGAGGCAGAAAATGGACAGAACCCTGGGCCCTATTCAGTAGGTGTCCGTCCACCACATCCTGCCTGGCAGCACCGTGGTGAGGGCTGTGGTTCCCTTTCAGGACCCAAGGCAAAGGAATACAGAGCAAAGACTGTTTTTGTGTGTTTGTTCTATTTGTCAAGCATTCTGGAGTCTTTAGACTTGTGAAAGTCCTGGCTCTAAACAGCTCTCTCTCTCTCTCTCTCTCTCTCTCTCTCTCTCTCTCTCTCTCTCTGTCTCCCCATGTGGCTGTGTACCTTGGCTTGTAATAACTGTGTTTCTCCCAGCCACCTGCCCCTTTGGGACACCTGCCGGCTGCTCTTCGCCTCATCTCTCTTAGACCCCCTCACCACAGAGAAGCAATGTCCAGGGAGAAGGACCATGGAGAATAGGTTGAGGAGAAAGAAGTAAAAGGAGGAGAAGGGATGGAGGAGAATGAAGAGGAGAGAAGAAGGGATGGAGGAGAAAGAAGAGGAGAGAAGAAGGGAAGGATGGAGGAGAATGAAGAGGAGAGAAGAAGGGATGGAGGAGAAAGAAGAGGAGAGAAGAAGGGAGGGATGGAGGAGAAAGAAGCAATGGAAAGAAAGCAAGAAGGAGGGAGGGGAGAAGATGAGAAAGAAGACGGGAGAAGATGAGAAAGAAGACGGAAGACGGGGGGGGGGGGGAGTAAGAGGGGAAGAGGTCAGAGGGAGGGTAAAGACGAAGAAGGGAGGGCGGGAGGAGGAGGAGGAAGAGAAGGCAAGTTGGAGGGGACAGAGAGATGAAGGAAGAGGAGGAGCGGGGAGGAAGGACAAAGAGGGGTAGGAGGAAGAAAGGGACACACGGAGGGAAAGAGGGTCGGAAGAAGAGGAAGAGGAGGGCAGGAAGGCAGAAGAGACGCACTGGTGGAGGCTGAGGTGGTGCCGGGCAGGGGCAGTCAGGCCGCAGTGTGAGCTTCAGAACACTGGCAGGGTGTGGGGTGTCACCCCCCCCCTCACCGCGGTCCACTGCTGCTCTAGCCATGAGTGGCAGCAAGGCCTGCCTTCCTCTCCCCACGCTGCTCCGCTGCCACTACCCCTGCCTTGCTGCCGCAGAGTAACCCGTGGGCAGACAGGAGAGAACCTGCCAGCTTCTGCTGCCTGGCCATGTCGAGCGGAGCGAGCGCTTCTTAGCAGGAGTCAGGTTGCTCTCTGGCTCTTCCCAGAACCGTGTCTCCCCCTGAGGCTTTTGTACACTTGCTCCAGTAGACAACTTACAGATCCGTGTACACATCCGTTAGTTTCTCTGTTTGGGCCCTGGCTTTTGGGGACTCAGGGCGGGGCAGAAGGGGTGTTCTCACTCAATTATGGGTCATACCCTCAAAGAATTCAGGTGGTCAAGGTCACGACGCACTTCCAGTGCGTGGCATTGGGACCAGGGGCAGAAGTAGTAGCAGAGAGCGCGCCTGTGCCAGAGGGAGTGGAGCTGAGGGCGGGGCTTGGGGATGCTGGCCACTCCCGGCTTCTGAGCCATGCTGATGTTGTAGGCGAGCAGTTACACCCCGAAAAGAAGCCTGGCGGCCCTCTGTTCTATACATTCTATGTGCATTCTTCCCTTGGCCCCCTCTTCTGTTTCCACTGCCCGCTGTTCATCCTTCCAAACGTAGTCTGCGTGGCAGCTTTTCTGAAAGTCTTCCGTGCCCTTCCTCGCCTGTCTGCACGGTCCTCAAGCCCTCTGCCCCTTGGAGCAGGACGTGCCCCACCCTTCATGGCGGTCTGCTGGTCTGCTCCTCTGCCGTCAGTGTGGGGTCTCTCGCCCTCTCCCAGTCTCCCCAGAGTCCAGGGCAGGATGTGGCAGCCTCTTTCCCCTCTTCCTCGCCCACATCTTCTTTCTCATCTTCTCTCCCTCTTCCCTCCACTCCCCTGCTTTCTTCTTTCTCCATCCCTCCCTTCTTCTCTCCCCTCCACCCTCCGCTATCTTCTAGTGGGCAGGTTCTGTTGGGTTTCGGAACTGAGCAGAACTGAACAGAAGCAGAATGGAGAAGGGGGTAGAGGGGAGCTCCACGGGTCCCATCTGCGTTGTGAGAGTATGGGGGTTACCGCTTGCAGCTTGTGAGTAGACAGCGATGTGACCCCAATGTCCCTTACTTTAGTCAAACCCAACGAAGTCAATAATGTGATAATCTGAAAAGTCAAATAATAGCTTTTATAATGAAGTGGCAGTTGAGTGTGGGCTAAGGACACAACTTTGGTCTTTGGAAGCTGGAATAATGGAAACATAACTTCCTCAGGGCTTTGAATGACTATATCATGGTTCTTCCAGACGCTGAGAAAGCCGAGGATGTTCTGAAGGCAAAAAAGCACAATGAATTTACTTAGCACTGGCTCCTGGAAGTTTCCTTGGATTTCCCTTCCATCTTCTAATTAGTTGGGACTTCCAGAATAGGGCCTGTCAACTATTTGGATGAACACTATTTGGATGAGCTGGGTATATATGGATAGTGTCTGGCCCATTTCAATAAATCTTTTAGTTTCTTTCTTCCTTCCTTCCTTCCTTCCTTCCTTCCTTCCTTCCTTCCTTTCTTTTTTTCCAAGACAGGGTTTCTCTGTATTGCGTTTGGAGCCTGTCCTTGAACTAGCTGTCCTCGAACTCACAGAGATCCACCTGCCTCTGCCTCCCAAGTGCTGGGATTAAAGGCATGCACCACCAATGCCTGGCTAAATCTTTTAGTTTCTGATGCTTAGGAAAAAGCAGGCTTCATTCTTTTGGATTGGCCAGGTAGAATTCAGGAAAAGACACAGAGCTGAGCTGTTACACACACACACACACACACACACACACACACACACACACACACACACACGTCTCTCCCACCCATGAGTAATCTCAGCCAGCTTGTCCATACATCGGTTTCTCTCTGACAGTTTTTTTTTTTCCTTTTTGTCTTAAATTTCCTTAAGAAGATGTCTTAGTTTAGGGTTTGAGCATATGGTGACCCAAAATAAATGAGGACACCCAGCTATATCTACACGCTTCCTTCCAAGGAAAGCCAGTGTCACACCGAATCAAGGCCTAGATTTCAGGAATAGGAGGGCTGAGGACAATCTTGCATTCTTCTCTCGGTGTCCATGCACTCTTGGGCATATTATTCATGTTCCTCCAGCCTTGACTACCCATGTGTTAAATGGGGTTCCCCATCCCTGTCACAGTTTAGTGACATATATATGGTGCTGGCAATGTACCTGGCCTAACTGACATTACCTTATTGCTCCTTAGACAGTCTCATCAGAGTCTGGCAGAGCCCGGTGTCTGGTTTGCTGGGTCTGATTTGGTTTCCTGTTCACTTTAGCTGTTGTTTTCAGTTCTGAGCTAAGAACTGAGGTGTTCCTGACCCTCTAGAGACCCAGCCATGGGGGTCTTGGAATCCAGTCAGAGCTCTGCATGTCACTGGGCAAGTCACAAATCTCTGTATACATGTTCCCATCTGGCCTTGAAGGTATGAACTCTGACCCTTCCGGCTGCCCTGCAGTGAGTTGGGTATCTATCCTCAGTGCCAAGGCCTCATCAGAGTTCTGGTTCATCTCTGGCCTGAAGCCAAGTATAGAGCCTACTGTCAGCCAATGCCTTTTGTAACTTTGCCCTTTTAAGTGAATCCAGGAAGCTTCATTTCCTGGTAGAGTTCTGTACTGATTCTGGAGGCCATTCTCATCCGTGTGTGCAGGGACTGGATTCTTGTGGGAAGGGTAGGCCAGTGTGTCAGCAGTAGGCTTGACGAGTAGGACCAAGACCTCACCAAGCAAGTACATACATGTATACACATGGCTACAGAGACATGCATACACGCACATACATGTGCATATGTGCACACACACATGTCCTATGAGTGTGTACCCTGCCTGCCTTTAGA